TATTACGATAAAAAAGTAAAAAAATTTAACTTTTCTGATAAATATACTGTAAATAGTAATTATAAAATTTGCTGACAGCATATTAATCTTAACAATTTCATTTTTATCTATTTAATAATGTCAATTTCAAACTTGCAAATTGAGCTACTTGTTATGGTAATTAATTCATTTTTTTTTTTTAATAAAACTTTCACTTTAAAGGACAATAAAAAGTAGGTTCAAAATTATTACTTTTAACATATTAAAAATAAAATCAATAATAATTTGAAAACAATTAATTTTAAAAATTATATAATATATAATTAAAAAAATTACTAATCTGGGTATAATTAAGGAAATAGAAGTTGATGTTACTTTTGTAATTATCCATCAATTTTTTAAAATTAAACACTATCTACAGATTTGCATCAAAGCGTTTCTTATGATAGTGATTTTAATCACTGTCAGATTAAATCTATACTGGACCCAACTATGCAACGTCTCCACTATGGCACCCCACTGTGCTGGGTTTTTTATTTATAAATTATTTTTGTTTATTGTTCATGTTTATGTAATTTACATATAACATGAAGACTAATTGTCAAGTATGATTTCAATGTGATCTAATTAACTTTTTTAGAATGAATTTTTTCTAACACTATCTGTATACTATTTATATCTGAAATAAATTAGTGTTTATTTTTTTTAGATTTGTGATTCAAAGAAAAGAAAAAGTTTATCAATAATTTCTTCAAGACATTTCCTAAGAATACTTAAAGCTGAACAACAAAAAATATGTTTGAATTTTATAACAGTAGTAAGTAATAATAACACAAAATGTATTGAGACTGATAATGTCAACAATGTTTTACCACAATTATTAATGCCTGTAAAATATTCTATATTTCCTGACCATTTGTTAAATTACAAAACCACTTAATCAATTAACTCAGATTTGTATGTTAACGCTTCTAGTGGACCAAAAATAACCAATTATGATACTTTAAGTCCTATCTTAGATAATGATGTTCCAAACAACTTTTGTACAGCAAAAAAATTGAGTTTATTATTTGTAAAGTATAGAGTTTCCCATAATTTTTGTAATAGCTTGCTTCAATTATTAAAAAGCTAAGGTTAAGATGTTCCAAAAGATATTAGTACACTAATAAAAACCCCTAAAATTCATGATATTGTTGATATTTCTATTGGATTGTACACACATTTAGGTATAAATAATATTTTGCTACCTATTTTAGTTAAAAATAAGGCACAGTTGTATATTAAATCACATGTGCTAGATATAGGTATTAATATAGATGGACTATCCGTTCCTAAAAGTTCTAAAAGTCAGCTATAACCGATTTTAATTTCAATTTTAAATTTTAGAGTTAAAAGAAAATGTTATACCTATAGGCATTTTTAATGGATTTTAAAAGCCTCATTAAAATGTTTATTTAATTGAAGAATTTTTAAATCCATTTATTATTGATATATTGGAAGTTTTAGATAATGGGTTAAATGTAAATGGGTTATTATTTATCATAAATATTTCAAATATTTCATGCAATTCCCCTGCAAAAACATTTTTACTTAAAGTGAAAGGTCTCAATGCCTATTTTGGCTGCACATCATGTATTGATTAGGGTAAATATTTAGAACACCGTATGACTTATCCTGTCTTAAATGCACCATTAAGATTTGATGAGTCCTTCAGATTTAAAAGACACGAAGACTACCATAAAGGAAATAGTCCATTAATAAAGTTACCTATTAATATCACAAATACTGTTGTATGTATTGGTGTTGTAAAAAAATTAATCGAGTTTTGGATGAAGGGTAACAATGAAATAAGATTAGAAAAAGATAAAATAAATAACGAGTTATTAAAATTAAGACCTTTATACCATCTGAGATATGCCGTTTACCAAGGGTGTTTGATGAAATTGAATATTATAAAGCCTCTGAACTACGAACTTTTTTATTATATACTGGTCAAATTGTTCTAAAGGGCAACTTGAAAAAAAAGTTTTACTATCATTTCCTTTTGTTATCTTATGTAATTAAAATTTTAATTTGTGCTGAAACTTGTTTAAATATAATGAAAGAGCCACTAAGTTTTTAAAAAAGTTTATTATCGATTACAGTACTTTATATGCTTCTCATTTGATATCTTATAATGTTCATAGTTTAATTCATTTACCTATGTATGTTGTTATTAATGGTCCATTAGACAATTTTAGTTGTTTCAGTTATGAAAACTATTTACAACACCTCAAAAAATTTATTAAGTCAATCAAATATCCTCTGCAAGAAATCTTTAATAGAATAACAGAAAAACAAAAAATTTATGATGCACTTCCTCCTCAACTATATAAACAATATACTGTCTTAAGTAATGAAGTAATGCCATAATATTCTTTACCCTTCTTTTAAACAAACACAACTATAAATACTTATAAAGAAAAAGATAGATATATAATACTCAATAATAACATTCTTGTTATGGTCCATCATGTTCAACCTCAAAATAAGCCTTTTTATTTAATTGTAAAATAGTTCCTTGGCTGTTCTGAATTTACTGATTGGCCTTTATCTTCTTTTAAAATTGGAGTTTATATTGTTGACACTACCAGAATGTCTGAATTAAAATGTATTTATTTAAGTGATATTAAATGTAAATGTTTTTTTATTAAACTATCAAATAATTTAGCTTCTATCTCAACATTGAGTCATTCTGAATCTTAAGATTGTTCTAATTTAAAAATTTTTATTAATTGTTTTTTATACATTTTTAATAAAATATTATTTTATTTTAATGTTATATAATGTAACATTATTAGTACCTACTATGTTTTTAGTAAAACATCTCTACGACAATAGTTTTAAACATCATATTGGTAACGTTTCGTAAACGTTATTTTTGTAACATGAATGGGACATCATGTTTGATTGTTGTAAATATGTTATAAGATGTGTTATAAGTTATAAGTGTTAGCATTGCTGGAAAAATACGGTCCCAGGGACGTTTTTTATAATCTTATGGAACGCAATTTGTAATGTTACATGTTTCAACAAAACAGCCCAGAAACGTTTACGGAACAAATTATTGCACAGAGAATACATGTAAAAAAAAAAAGATTGGTAATGGGGGTTCGATAGCCAATCCTTTGCCATCAGATCTGGATCTTGTTTACATTCGTTTATATTAATGTTGTACATTTAATTTAACTATAAAAATGTATGTGTTATTTTAAATGTTAAACACAGTAAATATAAAAATTTACTGACGACTATTGTGAAATAATATGAATCAAAACAACATGCAAATATGTCAAAAATTCTCGATGCGAGTATTACCTCCTTAATGATGTTATGAAACACTTGATACGCATACCGCTTAAATTTATGTTTTAAAATAATAATAATAATAATACCAATAAAGCTGTAGTAATATTTAATTTTAAAATGCCTCAAACCCAAAAAATGTAAAACTCGACATTTTTCACTCGAATTCCCTCGAGAACGATACTCTATATTATCCCTTAATTTGTTATGAAGGTTAGAATTCCTGGAGATGCCGGTTAATTTAAAATATTTAAAGCGGTGTACATATTTCAAACCGTTTGCCAAAGATGATATTATAGGATTAAACGTAATTACTATAGAATTTTTGCAAATTTGTTGACAACACGATTACAATAAAAATGTTAAACAGGGTTAACTGTAATTTATTTATTTTTAAAAATTTTAAGTAAAAATAAAATTTTTTTGTAAACAGTTTTGTATAGTCCTTTAAATTATATTTTATAGTCTCATCACGTCCTTTTCTCATATTTGTTTTACCAAAAAACTATTTTTGTTTGACCGTCCCTTAAAAAGTATCTAAAATTAAAAAAAAATGTTATGTATTTTATTGTTATTAAATAATAATTAAAAAAAAACAAAATTGAAACTTGATCAAAATGTGTTAATCAAATGATTATTTATTTTTTAGCTTTTTCTTTGAATAGTATTATTTTTTTATTTTCAAAAATGATAATTGAGCGTTGTAGTCGGTATCGGCCTCTTACGGGTATAATTTGAAGTACGGACGGTCCATTCTATTAAAATATATATTTTTTTAGATAAAGTACGTTCGTTCATAATATTGTGAAATTTAAAACCTTTATAGAGTATTCTTATTATTATTAACTAATTATTTTAAATTTATGGCTGACTATTTGTGCAATCTAGATACAAGATTGTTAATTTTTGGTTTTTAAACCAGTGTCATAATTTAATAACATATATAAACATTAACTAATAAAATATAAAAGTATGCAATATGAATATTTAATAGGGTAAGGTGGGGCTAGACGATGAAGATTTTACATATTTAATTGTTTACTTTCACAACTATTAGATTATGTATATAGCACAATTACCATGCTAACTTAAAATTATTGGTCATAATATGAGTCAAATTCATTAGTATAAAAACAGTGCTTTGATAAAAATTAATATATTATTTGTTGTAATGATAATTATTTTAATAAAATATTATTATGAAATATTTGTAATAAGATCGCTACAACACATTGCTGGTATTTTTTTTTTTATATTTCTTTATAGAACTTTTTAGTAGATTTACCGTTGAACATTAGTAATCAAGAAACACAACTTAAAAAATTTTCATATATAGTCTGGTAAAAATAAGCGCAAGTTGCATACTGGTTTTATGCATCGTAGTCATACAGTGTAGTAGATATGCACGATATTTTAATAAGGTAACACTGTTACTATGGTTGACAAGACTATCAGCCGTTTGAGAATGATACGGGGGAAACGACACTGTTATTGCGGTGACCGTTACACACTGGCCGCCTCCTCCATTTTCCGACTACCACACACCGACGCGCGCTTCAACAACCACCGCTTCCTCACCATACCACCCACTTCCAGTACCCTCGAATCCCCACCACCATTGGAGTTTGTGTGCGTCACGCTATGCGCGCGCCGTCGCTTCGGTACGTTGTCCGGATTCTTTACGCCATTCTTTGCATTCCTCAAACAGAGCGCGGATTCGTACGTCTGTTACCAGTTGAATACAACGACTGCGTGTGTGCGTGAATTTTGTGGACGTCGCACCGACCGGACGACGACGGCAGCTGTCCGCCGGTTACTGCTGTGAAATTTTGTAGAAACAACGACGGGGCTCACCTCGCGCTTAGAAACAATACTTTGGGATAAATATTTATATATAGGCATCGGCTGAAACAGCATTTTAAAACGAACGGGGTAAGTTAAAGACAATGATAAATTTTAACAACAGTAATAAAAATTATCTGCCGTAATTTTGACATCCTTAATGGCTTGGGATAATATACGGTACAACGCGTTGACGTCCAAGTTACGCAAAACCAAACGGGCTTGTACTTTACATGGAGTGACAATTCGGTGTAACGGTCGATTTGAGTTCGCCGCCGATACGCTGACATTTGAAAATATAAACAACTATCGGCCAGGTGTCGACCTCGTCTTATCACTACCGCCCGCCTTTTCGTGTCGGTCTGTGTATGTTTATTTTGTTTGTTGTCGATTTTTCGCCGGTGTTTCAACACACCGCTCATGTTAACGCAATCGCTACCGGTATTGTTTTTCGCAAAAGCCGTCCGCTCACGGCTGGGCCGTTGTTCGTAACGGTCGCTGTCGATTTTTTTTGTGTTATTTTCTTCCGGTCGAGCTCCCCCATCCACAAAACGCATAGCTGTTTTCGGGGTAGACGAAATGTTTTGAAAAATCCTCATCAGTAACACGTTTGTGTGAGTTTAAAACAACTATTATGATGTAAACTTTCCAAGGTTAAGTGATAATTCTTGAAAACTTTGACATAAAAACCTGTTGGCTTTCGAGTACTATTGTGCGTTTATTCGAAATTGTTTGCTACCAAATTGGTATTGGTCAATTATTATTATTATCTTGGTGACACAATTTGAATTTGACGTAGGTATAATATAACATGTCTATATGCCTATGATAATGGACACCTTGTTATTTAGTTGTCGTTAAGTGATTTTTAAACGCATTTCCCAAAAACCGCCCAACATCATTAGCGTACGTCTATGGTGTTGTGTTTATATAAGTGTAACCATTGCCAGTTATTGTCATTGAATAATATTTTTATTATCACTAGATACAAGCTCTTGTTCGTTATTTAATAGCTTATCGTTTACCTGTAACTGTAAAATTACATTAATTAGATTAGATTTATTCTTGTACGATTATTGAGCAGGTAATTAAAGTAATAATAATGTTAAAATCTTAATTTTAACTCTATAATCGACACTTGTGACTAATAACCTATTTTCAAATATTTCACTGACTGCGGCAAATGTGTTTTGGTTGATATTTTTTTTCAAAACGGTCTTTTCAAATGTAAGGCAATAATATTATTAGATTATTTAATGCATTATTTTAAGTAAATATTCCGTTATTTAATAGTTCTTCAGACTATTACAACATTTGCTTATAGATGTTTGGTTGGTTTGGGTTCGTGGAAGTGTAGACTTAATTCATTTTTAATACTTTTCATCTCGAGGATGCTTAACACGCTCGTCGATTTTGCCATAAAACAGTAGCTTCTTCCAAAAAAAAACAGATGTCGTCCATGACGTAATAGTTTTTATATACCACAATATAATTAATTTTAATTTTGCTGTTGTTTGATGATCATCATTGACGCGTAAAATTATATTAATGATGTTGCATTAAGTGTAATCATAATAATTTACTATTTAAAGTTTGAAAATTTTCCAACGAGGGATAATCCTGTTATAGCAATAACTATTAGTATTTCAGGACTGAAAAGTGGGTTATGTTGAAACGGCTTTAGGGAATACAATATAAATTTTGGGTTGGTTTCTTGTCTGGGCTTTCAACACAATTCCCTTGTGGTTCTTAACACTTAACATAGTTATACATGACCGTTGTTTTCTATTATATTCAACTAATGGAAACAATTTCACGGGGCGTTTGACTCTGTTATAAACACGACCGCTTAATCTGTGTACTTGCAAGTAACCGATTAAATTGTAATTTTATATTAAAATCTAGAGAGTGGCGATTACAAGGGTGAAACGTGTTTAATTTGTTACATGTTAGTTAACACAATAACAGCGATACCGAATATCGATATGGTGTTTTTGACATGTAATACCATTTTGTAAATTATTTTAATTTGTGAGACAAGCATTAATGTCCTCGATTTCGGCACACTCGACATACTGAATTTATATGGTTTTTTATTATGAGCGATTAAATTTTCTAAAAATTATCTTAATTAGCTATTGCCGCGTGACGATTTAACCCTATATTAACGAAGATAAATTTAATTGGCAGAAACCACAATCATTCAATTAAGTATGTATAAATTTAGTTGACACACTCGTTTATTTATTATCCATAACATTGTGTTAAGCCCTTCGGTATTTAATTCTAGTAAATAAAATAGTTAACCGATGACTGTCGTTATCTACTCTTAGTATTATTAACTATACTATAATCATTATCTCTCTATTGTAAATAGAATATATTTTTACAATCTTGTCGGAAATTGATGCTGGCAATTAAATACAGTCATTTTGTTGGCTCGTTTACATTTTATACGTTTGACCAGTTGGCGGCGCTATGCAATTTGGACAAAATTCAAGTGTGGCTTCAGTAGTCTGTTATCTTCTATTCGTTATCATTTTTGACATTCGAAACCGTACCGGGACGTGCTGTTTTGAATGTAAATTGTTCAGTTTGAAATTGAAAACAAGAGAATACAATTGTTTAAATGAGAACTGCCAAGTTATTCAAATATGAACTTGGAAAAACGTTTTGCCACGAACATTTTGTTTTGTCGCTGATTATTTAGCTCCCATATTTTGCTTGTACAATCTATTTATAAAAGTGCATATTTTATTTTAAAAAACACAATTACCAAGCCTTTGCCGAAAATAGCGTTTGTTTTATAGATTGATACCACAATTCTAGAAAATAATTATTGTTTTTAACGACATATTGTTTTCTCTTAAGCAACTCCTCGGGTGACCCCGATAACCCAATTAACAGAGTACGTGGCATTTTGCACGATTTCAAAACGCTTAAGTTTGCATACACGATCAACAAATAAACTAAATGTAATTGATTATTCGGACGTAACGCTTGTTTTTTATTGTCAGGAATATCGTAAATATACATGATGAGTACACCATTAATATGGGCCGCACTAATTAGGAAAAGTGGCGGCGGTAAGTGGCCGGTAGGTTATCTTATGTACAAACCGTATGACGTCATTGCAAGGTACTTACCAAGAAGGTATTTGGTGTGTCCGGAAGAAACATTCAGCTAGTTACAATAATAATCGTTATGTTATTATGAATTTAAGACTTATTCAGTTCAATCTGACAATAAATCAAACTTTCTATAGAAATTGCTCATTGATTGATTCATTTCACCCACGTTAATATTTTAACATAAAAAAAGATTTTAAATTTAACCTAGACCGATATAAAAATAGTATAAAGAAACTAGCTCCGTTTGATTATTTGATTCTAAATATATGTTATTTATCTCCCGTAATGTTATGCAAACGAGAGTGTTCAGCAGACATGCCACATGCTCATGGAAGACGTGCATTTTCAATCTTGTAAATCTAATAAAACAAATATAAAAAATTCACATATGTTTGTTTTGAAATACTTGTGTGGTAATATATAGAATGTGCAATAATTCGTATCACGAACTGAAAACTTTTAACGTTATACCTTTTAAATTTTGATATAATACCAAAGATGTTATACATTAGTTTTAATAAAAAAAATTAATTCTTTATTGGGTACTCGATGTTGCTAAGTTCGCTCATACGTTATAATTTAAATCACCAACTAAGTGTTTTAAAAATAATTCATTATTTTTGTGTTTCATTACATGTGCTTGATTATGTACGAGAAAAATTAAATTTATTTAATAAAATGTGTTTAATACCTCGTTGAATAATTTTTTTACGAATAATTTGAAAATAAATATTTCCAAACCAGAAATTTTAATTTCCTGTTAACTAATCGAGTGCATACAATTAATAATTAAATATTAATTATCTGATAATAGGTACACAAGTTCTAGGTTCATTGACGAATGAGTTGGTTCAATTTAATCTGAAATAACATTTTCCGTAAAAGCTCTGTGACCTACACTTTAAGTATTTTCCTTCGGGTACCGTAATAATAAAAATAATTTTAAATGGCTTTTTCATTCAAATAAAATGTACATGCATGTGCAGTGAGTCGCCTCGGGGTTTAAACTATTAGTAATAAAATTTTATTGCAAGCATCATGTCTATGTATTATAAATGGTGCTTTAAAACGTTGTTGGAGTTAACTCATCAAACGGGTTTCGAATTTTAATTATTGGAAAAGTGTTCTTTCTTTTCAACTACAGTTTTTATTAAAAATATTTTATTGTTTTTCGCGTTAATAAATAGAAAAAGTTGCTTGAAATATGTTTTATTTGAATTCATAACACGCAATTGTGTCTGAAATATAATTTTCAGACCTTTCGTTTGTATTGACTCATTTTAATAGTAATAAAATTAACATTTTTTGTGATGACTTTATTTTATTGAAATTATCTTGTGTAATAGTTTAGAGTGTATATTTGAGTAGTCCTATTGCTAATGTAATGTTTCCCAGTACTGTGCAAAATCAAGCAGAAATTAATAATTTTTTATTTCGTATGCTACCAGGTTTATATTGATAAATACGGATTATTGTATTGTTTTGTTTTTTAGGAGAATGTTATTATTTTGTGTATGTTAAAATAAATCGTAAACATGTATTTTTAACTAATTTTTTAAGTTATCACTGTTTGACCTATTGCTACATTTATAAAGTCATTTGCATATATATATATATATATATAAATTATATTTTTAGTAACCATTATATTTAAAAGTAAATCTGCTAATTGTTGTTAATCATGGTCACACGTGATTCATAATGATTAATGAGTGTTCTAGTATATAATGCAGTTGTACTTTTTAAGTACTGCTGTAAAACTTTCACTATTTCTGTTCTATATTTACTTCAGATTCATTTGATCGTTGTTGATAAATACTATAAATTGAGACGGTATATTGTACATGGGTTTTAAAAATAATATATTTTTCTTACAAATTGAGGAAGTATTGAATTTTTGACGTTATTAAATTTATGAGTAAACAAAATGTTTTAATCGGATCTCTAATTCTTAAATGTATTTATATGTCTAAAATTTTAAATATCAATTTTTATTTCTTAGTTACATGCAATGTTTTTATTGTTATTATTGTGTATGTGCTAAAGACAATTTTTGTATGTAAAAATTTAAATATCATTTCTTTAGATGTAATTTATACAAACATTTTTCTTTATATATTAATAGTTTATGAATTATTTTTCATGCTTTATATGTCGTTATTTGATCATTTGTTTAACCGTATAGATGATATTGTATTAATTATATCCAATTCAATGAAAAACTCAACTCTTTCTCCGCCAAACAGCTGCATGAACGCTAAATTCAAATTTGCTTTTACTAATAATACATTTTTTGTGGTATTTTGCCAAATAAATTAACCGGCAGTTGTCTACTTTTAACTGCGTGTTTTTGTCTTCATATTTAATTCGACTAAATGTTTCTTTGGAGTTCACCCTTCTCATTATCAACGAACTAACTTAATAATTTATCGTACCTAATAATTAAGAGAAGTTTGTATACAAAACCAAAACAAGTTTATGTATGACACAGAGATTCATCATATACTGAGTCATCATTAGACCCCACCCTCGTCGGTCATTGTTATAGTTGGCCTATACATATCAATAAAAGTTTATAGAAATGTAATTAAATTGTATAAATTGTTTTTTTAGAACTGGGAACCGTTTGTTGAATTTGTTCCTTACCATATGATGGGAGTAACTGAAGGTAAGCTACTTTTATTTTATAAGTGTATATAGTAAATTTATTTCATTAATTTATCGCTTAAGATTTTAACAACTATTTATAAATGATTTATACTCTTGACAAACATAAATATTTTACAATTTTAGTCGTTCATAGAAAGGAAAAACTTATAGCTACTTTAAATTTAATAAATAAATTTTGGCTATTCCTTATCTATCACTCGATATTTCATTAATGTGTTTTGAGTCTTATTAAAATTGAAACTTCTAGAAAATGTGTATAAATTTATACATGAAATTTCGTCATTGGTTTCTTATTATATTTTAAATCTCTAAGTTTTAAAAACATGTTGATCGTTCTTAAGTTTTTAGATTTATTAATTAGTTATAATTAATCTATAAATGTAATAATAATTTAAAGCAATCTTGAGATGTTTAGTCCTCAACTTTTTTTTTTGTTCAGACAATGGAATAATTATAAAATATTTTAAAGGGTTCTATAACATCGAACATTTAAATTAATTAAATCTAAGCTGTAAAATATTGTTTACACTCATTAAATTATTATACAAATTTTTAATAATAACTAGAACTAAATGTAGGCTCTACAATGTAAATCGTTTAATAAGTTGTTTTACCTTGTCAACTTCTCTTGACCAATGGAAATTAGATAAAACGATTGTAGACCAATAATTATAGGATTTTCTACAAATGTATACATTTTTTACACATTTCTCAATGTCGTGTGAATAATTGTGATGTCTATAGAATTTTCATGTGACACGCGTTTATGTTTTCGGATTGAGCGATGAAATTGTTATTTAATACATTCGTTTAAATAGCTGATAAATTAATATTCTAAATAACATTATAAAATCAGCTATTGTTGTAAAATACACTTAATGCAAAACTATTTTAAACACCCTTTTAAAATTACTGCATCATTTTTTAACATTTAACTGAAAATAAAGTCTTCTATGTTGTGCATGAAGAATTATTTATTTATTTAATGATACTCGATAATATTAATTTAATGATGTCGGTTTGTGTATGATAATGTTATTTATCAGTTAATTACGTCAACCGGTAATTTGAACTTTCCTATATTGGTTTATAGTAATAATTATTATCATTTTAAGATAAGGTTATATGCATATCAGGTGTATGCTTTGAAATTTTTTATATTTTAACAGCATGGGAAAAATATCGCCATTGAAAATTAGATTTTAAATAAATGAGATACGATATTCTGTTCCTCGGAAACACGATTTAAATATTTGCGATTAAAAAAGTGGTGACCATGTGAAACTGCATTTTTTTTTAAACTGGAGTAAGTAAGGACGCGCTCATTAAAATATAACTACCATTTAAAAACCATAATACAACCAATGAACCGTTTATTATATTTATGATTTTATTGGTTGTGCTGATTTAGAATAAAAGGCTTTAAATTTAAAAATGAAATTGTTTCAAGAATAAACCATGTTAAATATAATAAATCGTTTACACGCGTATTTTTTAGTTACTGATGACACTTTGTTTGTATTTTTTTAATATATGTGTTATAACATTATTATTATTCAGTTGTTGTTTAATGTAATCACTTGTTTAATTAACGATAGAAATTAATTATTGAAATTGATAATAAAAATTTTCTTTGATGTTACATTTTAAGTAGATAATATTTATTTGTCAAGAATTATTTGAGATAAGATTTTTAATCACACAACATTATAATGACGTTTTTGTTTTCTCATTTTACTTATGTAGGCTTTAACTTATAGTTAAATGAAATCGATCAATGTATTATGCATAGTGAGTGTTTTTTTCTTTTTCATGACAACAAAAAAATGTCACAGTAATATTATAAAGATAGCATCTTTAACTAAAAAAATATTTTGCTTAAAAATAAACACAAAAATTATTTCAAAACAAATATTCAATTATTCTCACACTTTTTTGTTAAGCATTTTCTCACGTTTAATTTGTAAAAATTTAAATTACTTTTGTTTCTCTTATCTCAAAAGATGAACGGTCTCGTTCGTAAGTTACACAACGTATAGACAACGACTAATGAATGAGGTACACAGATAGAATAGAGGTTAATGAACATACACTAAATGTAAATTGTATCCAGGGATTGTTTTCACTTCTTCTTTCTGTAGTTGTGTTATTGGGCGGGATCTGAATAATATTATAATAGTAATAATAATAATAGGTACAAAAAGACAAAGGAAAACGCAAAGACAATGAACTTGATGATTTGTTTAACAACTTCCGAGCAACATATCATATACACAACTCTACATGCGTCGCAAGTGTGAGGAGTGTACATAAATTGTCCAGGGAGCAAAATAATATTATGTGTTGTCAATAATAAACAACTTACAAATGATAGTTATACAACGTGACTACGGAATATGTCGCAGGACATGTCCAGAATTATAAAAATAAATAACTGGTTGTATTATTCTATTAAGTATACCTAATATTTCAAAGTTAAACATTTGGTATGAAATTTTTTAAATTTTTTTTGTTATGATTTTCGTTTAACATTGTTACCTATAAAGTATCATGTAATCAAACATTTAAAAAATATTTTTGTGGAAAATCAAAGGTTTCTAGATAAATTGTTTAAAAGATCCACTGAAGCTTTTAGTGAGTAAAAAACAAAATTGAGAAACTTATATTCAAGTTTTTATCGGAAGAGTTTCAAGTCCGTTTAAAATAAATTAATAATTCTTTTAAAGTTTCTGACAAACCAAATAGTCAATGGACCTACAATAATTTTGCTCTTTAAACGGTGTCTTACAATCTCGGCCGTCACAGTGTGATAGATGGCAAAATCGATAGTCACGTTGTTTTTGTGGAACTACAGAAAAGAAAAATGTCTATTCTCGTCCGATTCGTTAGAATTATCATCGAAAAAAATAATACATAATGATTGTACATAGTTATCGGTCGAAGTTGTTAGCAATTAGCATCATATAGCGGTGGTTTTATTTCGTTTATTTGATTATTATTATAATTCTCGCCGAAAAACGGGAGATCCGTTTCGGTCGGTTAATCTTTAAAAACGTGATTTTGATTCCGCACAACCGTTTAAGTCTTTATAAAATTTTCTTTTCAGTGTTTGTCATTTTCCTGTGTACTTTTTTATTATAATTTACGATCAAAACTCGCGCTTAACGATCTGTAAAAATCCTAGTTCGCGACCAATATATATGGATAATCTCTTTCCCTGTGGAAATCGATGAACTTGTGCAAGAAAAAAAAAAGGATAATAAATAAAATAGAGCCTGTTTTCCGAGCGACAAAATTGCAGTTTTTTCTACGGTAATTGTTTTCTCGGTGGGCGCCTGTATAGATATATTTTTTTTATCGAAAAGAAAAGAGAGGGTGCATGATAAAAGAATACAGCTTCGGTATTATTTGGGGTTAGCAGGCGGTAGTCACGATTTTCCCTTTTTAATTGCATTGTAAATCCTCGTGGTGATATTTCCGCATTAGAATAAATATTCATTTAAAATAAGAAAAAGAGGAACTGATCATTCGCGTTGAGCATTGTAATGTTATTTTAAGAATTTACCACTTCTGTAAATATTTTTACGTTAACGGATGAATAAACTTCAATAGTAACAATTTTTTTCTATCACTAGGTGAGTTGATTAATTTTGTTGAAAATCTCGGAAACCTAATCTAAGCTATGAAGTAACTTTGAAATTTGTATATTCGGTTTGATCAGTTTAATGAATCGCTCGATTTTTAAGAACCTTCGCGACAATTGTTCTTGATCGTTTACGAGCGTGAAATGTGACTTGCTACTTACATCAGTCGTTTTCGACGATTAAATTCGTCACTATTTTGCCCGTAAATCTACGTATGCAAATTACTGTAATGTTTTGTGTTAAAACTACTACCGTTTATGTATTTACTATCCGCCTCTGTCACGATTTTTTACTGTAAACATCATTCACGAAACTCGTTAAAATGTAACTTTTCTCGGTAAAGTGTAGGTGGCGGTTTCTTCTATTACTCACGACTAATAGTACTATGAATACAATACTTAATGTAGTAATCGGTTTTTTTCTATGGTACGCTAACCCGATTACGTCGAATATATTATCACTGCTAAATGAATGGCTTTATTTATTATTACTTTTTAAACTTCATTCGAACAAGTTCCTGCTGTTATGCTTTTTTAGGCTGTTTTTTTTCCTTAATGTGACTTGTATTTTATGTCTAATGGTAGAGCAACAGGTCACAATAATATTGATAAAAAAACTTGTGGCATCGAGACACAACAAACTACTTTTATGTCGTTATCATTAATGATCAAATGAAATATTATATCACTAACTTTTATGGATTCTTAAAAGTCATTATATTTTTAACGCGATTGTTGTCTTGTGATATTAAAGTATAATACTAATGTAGTATTTTTTGGATTTGTGTAATTCAATTGTTTTTTTTTTTTCTTACTTAAATATCAATTTAGCGGCGGCAATTGTTGTTATTCATTTGCGTTTCCTCGGTTTTTTTATTTTGCGCCATCAACAGCCCTGTGACCGGGTTGTCCACCGCCATTCTTGTCAACCGGTTTGCGTATGTATGTGAATAGGAAAAGTACATGTTGTGAACTGGAACCGCCGGCAATTAAATGTAAAAAGAACGCCATCGTTTGGCTCGATTTATACAAGTATATATCTAAGAATTTTTCTTTTACTCGAGAAGAGCGTCCGAGAAGTTGTTGTAACTGCTGTGACGAGATAGGATCGCGTGACCCGCAGTCTGCTCGAAGAAACTGCCGCTTATACTCATGACTCATGTGGGTTGTACATACGCCTTTCTACCAACACTCGCACTTATAATATATACATATGTATTCAGTATTATATATATATATAGAGGCTACTATTAGGTCTGCCCCGAATTAACCTCAATTTTCTACGCAACGATAAAAATACGCGCATCATCGAATCAGTCAATATATAATAATGCACGTCTTACAATTTTCGTAAT